AGACTAAATCAATTGCGAAACAGCCGCCTGGCAATGTGTACCATCGGAGCGCCAACATCGGCGCCGAGGAGCAAGTCTGTCAGCCGCAGCCCCTGAGCGGGTCTCACGACGTAGGGCCGCAGCCAGACTCTTTAATTGCACACCCATTAGTGCCGAACAATTCCTTCTGTGCCAGATGCGAGAAATTCAATCAACGCACTGCCAATGTAGCTTTCCCCTTCAATCTGGACAAAGACTCTTCGGTGCTCTCCTCGGTAGGTTCGGTGGCAGTGCCGCTGGCCCAGAGGCAGCCAAGAAAGGGAACGCGCTCTAGGGGACGACTTAACACATGGACACGGTGATGAAATGTGGGAGCACTGTGGTGTGAAGAGTGATTACAGCGTCACTGGACCAGAGTCACTGGCATGTTGTCACGAGCCATTCAAGCAGCAGTGGAAAGACAAACGTGCCTTTATAACCTACTGACGACAGTGGATATAACCACTTGCCCCGCCCCCCCCGTTCCCCACCCCCCCTACTGCCGAGGCCTATATAACCTCGTGCCATGGAAGCTCTCTTGCATACTTCAGCAGTTTTTTTTCTTGCTGTGGTTGTCCCACCTGATGACGGTTGCTTGTGTTGCGATCGAAACGTCGTGATCTATTATGTTTCTACCTACGTGACTTTACCGAAAGAACCAAAGAGTATTATATAACCTGTTGATTTCTTATATCCATGAACAATGCACCTTGCTGTATTACACAATACCATACTGTACTGAGTAACATTGCACGTCTATGGTATTCAAATCAAAGTTCATGGAGTGTCCTCGCGCTCTTGCTATTAAGGTGTACTTCTGAGCTCTATAGGGAGCCTTGTGCCAGTCATGGACACTCGACATTTCCATGACGTGCACCAGTCTCATTCTTGAACACATCTCCTTTGGCTTGCACAGTATTTGACATTCTGGGTCAGTGTTCTTCACTGCAAGGCCCCCGCAGGGCCACCGGTGTGGCCCCTTGGTGGCCACGAGCGCGGCCCCTGACGTGCGGCCCCCTACAATAACACAACATGTGAACACCCCCCCATCGTCGTCGTCGTCCTCTCAAACACCGATGGCTTCAAATGTACGTCGGCCCTCACACTTGCGATGTCTTAACGGCGACAGTTGCCCCCCCCTCCCCTCTGAAAATGAGTGAAGAACACCGCTCTAAACGTCACTGACGAGAGATACCCAAACCAGGCCCGGGCCTCCAAACTCTTCACCAATAGGCACCGACCAGCACGGTGAGGTATGGTCAAGAAACAAACCCATGACTGACATGGCATGTGGAGGCCCGTCATCCAGCAGTGGATTGAAAAAAGGGGCCGTGAGTTTTTTTATTATTAATTTTAAATGGTTTACGTCTGTTTTTGGAGATGCAAGGCAGGGAATCGCAAATCAGTTACTCGTCAGGGTAGGTACTCTTTTTAGCTGCTGTCAAAGGGACCATAAAAGTGACACTGGCTATAAATGACACACAAATGGAAGGCAAGCTGTGACCACAATGGCTTGGCAGCTTGTACAAGCCACTGGTATACAAATGTCCATGCACAGCACAGCAAAGATGTCAGTAACATCATCAGTGTTCAAAATACACTCTTGTGTATTGTAGAAAGCCATATATCAACGTATTTGGTGCTTAATTTGGGCCAGAATGCTCCCATGCTATTTCCCCATATTTGTGTCCTTGTCATACTTTCGTTGTTGTTATTATGGGAATATAGGATGAATACTGGGAACAATAATGTAGGCTTGTTGTGGATAGGTGTATCGTGTACTCTCGAGGTAGTAGTAGTGCCTTGCACCAACAATCCCTACTACAAGCTAGCCTAACAACATTGTGGAAATTATCGGGTGATAAAATTAGTACGTCAACGTATTCAATTAACGAGTTCGATTTCAGTGGCCAATGTTGCCATTTTTTTACATTCGTAATGTTACAAGTTGCACTAATGTGTTGGAATTAATGCATTGTGGAGTTTAAAAAAATCAATTGTTCTGTATTGAGTAATATGCAAGCATTGGCACACCGAGATTAATTCCGGTTTACATATAGAGAGATTTTTTTTTATTATCATGGAATAACTGTATCATACTAGCATGAAAAACGAAGTAACAATGACTTTGAAACGCCTCCACTGACTAAACCGTCTGGATGAAACCATAACAATGATCCTATTGCTTATCTCCTGACTACATTTTCAAGCATGATGGGATGTGTAACAAACGTGGAAAGGGGGCTTATGCTGTGCTTTTTTATTTTAAACGCTTCACACCATGCACATTACATTTCAGCGCTACCAACAGCATCACTGAAACCCTAACATAGGGCCAGCTCTCACCATCACAACACATGACGCCATTATAGCAGCGAACGAAAAGGCTTGAACGGTAGCACAGTAGCTAGAGAACTTTGTTTTTAACGCTGGTGGCCAGAGTTCAATTCCTGACCAAGGATAAACACGAATGATATCGGAACCGGGTCCTGGATGACTCTTTCGGCAAACCGCACTGACAAGCGCGGTGAAGTATGGTCAAACAACCCTAATACTGACACGTCATGGGAAGGCAATTAATCCAGCAATGGAATGGACAAAGGACTGTACATTAATGTCGCGTGAACAATTTTCACTAACAAATAAACACTCTCCTCACCTCTTGTATATATGTAAGGCACACTCTCAAAATAACGAGAGAGAGTATTTCCAGAAGGTAATTTCGGACACAATCTCGAGATTGTTCCTTGCTCTTAGCGAGAGTCAGAGCCGCCTCAACAGCCAGTGGTGCCCTTCGTGGCCATGGAGGAACGGGGCCTTGAAGAGCGATCGAGAAAGACAAACGTGTAAAGGGACAGACAGACGTAGACATAGACATAATATTTGCGGGAATAAGTGAGGCTCCTGTAATTGTGCATTTTGCTCGTGCGTGGAAGAACAACGCCGATCACAATTGATTTATTCTTTTGACTTAAAGCATTTCCAGTGTTTGAAGTGCACGTTTAAATTACTGTACAGCACGCTTGATCACATCTCCTCGTCCCACGAGTTTTGCGTTTAAACACTCGGAGAAAAAAAAGCCATTTTGCCACGTAGCAAATATTAAACACATGTCAAGATGGAGTTTTTCACGGCACAGAATGTGCTTTCTTTATTTTTTTTGTTCTTTCTACATTTCTTTAATATTCTGAGCTGTAACTGGAACAAATTGTTTTCAACCGAATGCACTCCGGAACAGCACACGTGACTAGAGACAAGGTGAATTGATTGGAGAAGCAAATCAAATACCAAATGGCACGTAGCCAGTCAAATCATTTATTTGGTGTGGTTATGCCAAGTTTTCAAGATGCTCAAGCCAATAAAGTTGCAATTATGTGGCCAGTTGCATAAAACACTTTGTTTTTCAAATCGTTTGTAAAAGAGAATGAGGCTACAATTGGCGCCAGCAGCAATTTCAGTGTCGTCCTCGGTTAGATTCCCTCGCCTGCCTCCGCTCCCTCCACTGGCTTCCCATCGCCATCGCGCCTCCACTCTGGGTCGTCCATCGTATCTCTCTCCTCCGCTCCCGTCACCCTTCACTACAGCTCACGGTGAAATTCTACACACAGCAGCGTGACTCACAACCTCCTCCCTATACCAAGGACCGTCACTGCCGGGCAATATTTCTCTGTGGCAGCCACCGTAACTCTCTCCCCGCTTCTGTCACCCCCCGCACTACAGCTCACATTAGAACTCTCCGTAGCAGCGTAACTCGCAACCTCCCCCTCCTGCTCTTCTCTCCACCAAGTACCAGGAACTTCACTGCCTGGGCGTGACAGCTCCCACCGTCTGGAATGCCATCCCGTTTCAAATCCGCAGCAGAATTCAATCTGCCCCGACTTTGAAGAGGCGCATGAAGGCTCCACGTCTCTCGCCTTGGCTTTCGAGCGACACTGAGCTGGGCTTCACACCTCCGCAAAATAAAACATTGCGTGCGTTATAAATCTCATTATTCTTAAGGGTGAGAAAAACTCAGCTCAGCTATTTTTTTGCATCTGTCCACTGAGCTCGATGTGAATGGTTGTGACATACGTCCTATACAAATACAATTCCTGGCCATGGCTAAAATCGGTGAAGAGTAAAATCCGAAGTGCTCCCGGGCTGACCAGTGTGGTAAATTTAGGGTTAAACAAGCCCCATGATCAACGCGGCATGAGGACACCTGATTTCAGATGTAGATTTACAATTATTATTAGTGTATTCTTCTTATTTATAAACATCAAGTTGCTGCTTTAGTAAACTCATCAAATAATAGGCTAAATGAAAATAGTATTTCAAACCGCCACCGAGATGAAAGGAAGATCACAGCATTTCAGTTGACTGGCTTTGACTGGCTTCATGCCAGAATAATATGCAACAAAGTACTGCAGTGTACAGATTTGTGTTAATTAAAAACATTCTCCATGTTAAAATTGTTTCACTGCAGGTGTGACAGCAGAGAGTGTTCTACTATTTCCATCGGTGCTCACTCGGCATATAACCTCGTAGTGGCATGAAATAACGACACATCACACAGAAGGCAAAGCGGTTATATTATATATGTATGTAGTTGAGCACATCATTTGTGAACCTCACTAGGTGACACGGTTGTTACATTGCTCAGAGCGCAGTGGTCAGAGCGCGTGTGATACAAATCGGTGGGTTACAAGATCAGATTGTGGTCAAAGGGTTGACTCCAGCCTTTCGGTTCTCGACGGTTGATAAAACGAGCACCAGGTCCATTGAGATTGTGCTTTGATATGATTCGCATCCGTTAAACAACGCGAAAATTCCACCATCGGCTCAATGCTCTAAACGTTAGATGACTTAATCTCCATGCCCATTTCAGTAGGAAACACTTTTGACTTTTTTACATCACAGTATTTGTTTTTCGACCATGCAGACAACCGATTTAAAACCATCGTTTGTTGCAAGCCGCTGACGATCAATGCATTTATCTGCAGGTTTCATCATGAATGCACAACTCCTCTTCCTATTCAAGTCACTCTTCTGGATGCTCGTCTTCCTGGGGAGACCAACTACACAGCAGCAGCATCGCCAGCAGCAGCACGGGGTGAAACTGGGCTCCATCCTCAAAGGCAATGCCTTCACAACGGTGTGGAACGCCCCCACAGAGCTGTGCAGCAAGCGCTACAACATCAGCCTGGACCTCAACATCTTCGACATCGTCATCAACCCCAACGAGTGCTTCTGCGGAGACAACATGACCATCTTCTACCACACGCAGCTGGGTTACTACCCGTACATCGACGAGCACGGGGCACTGAAAAACGGCGGCGTTCCGCAGAGTGGTGACCTCGTGGGGCACCTGGACAAAGCACGGGAGGACATCCGCGCGAAAATAAAAGGCAAGGATTTTGAGGGCCTGGCTGTCATCGACTGGGAAGAGTGGAGACCCCAGTGGAGCAGAAACTGGGGCAAGAAGGACGAGTACAGGAAGGAGTCCAAGACAAAGGTGAAGCACGCTCATCCGAGCTGGCCCGAAGACCTCGTGGCCAAAGAGGCGCAGAAGGAGTTTGATAAGTCCGCGCGGGATTTCATGGAGCAAACGGCGCGGGTGGGGCAGAGCGAAAGGCCGGGCGGTCTCTGGGGCTACTACCTCTTCCCGGACTGCTACAACTACGACTACAATAAGACGGGGCCGGAGTACACGGGCCAGTGTCCGGACGTCGAGCGCGTGCGGAACGACCAGTTGCTCTGGCTTTGGAACAGCAGCACGGCCCTCTACCCATCCATCTACCTGGAGAGGCCACTCAAGTCCACGAAGTACGTGCGCAAGTTCGTTCACCACCGCGTGAAGGAGGCCATGCGAGTGGCCAGCATGCCCAAGCCCGGTTCCATCATTCCCGTCCTGGTCTACGCACGGATTGTCTACACCTACACCCTCGACTTCCTCTCGCAGGTGTGTGGGCTGACTCGACTATAAGCTCGACCATTGTTCATTGCCAGGTCTGCCGGGCGACTGGTGGCCCCTGGTGGCCATTAGTATGGCCTCTGATGTGCAGCCCCCGACAATACAAAGAGTGAAAACACCCCGTCATCAGCGTGCCATCAAACCCCAATGGATTCGAATGTGTGGCGGCCCTCGCACTGATGATGTCGCACCGGCAAAAGTGCCCCCCCCACCCCCCCCTCTGAAAATGAGTACAGAACACTGAGCTAGACGCTCGCGGCCTAGCAGATACTCCGTTAAGCCTGGCATGAGAACGCTGCTGCTGCTGATGTATGGATTTTGAGCTTCTTCTGCACCGTACGTGGCCAACAAACTAAACACAAAAAAGCAGTTCTAAAGGAATGGGCGTGGAGATTAGTTGAGTTTGAAAGTAGCTTTTGCAGCATGCTGGGCAATGTTCCCCAAGGAAACTGTCCTCGTTTTTAACAATATTAACGTTTTTTTTGTCTTTTGTTTTCGCTGCTTTTACTGTGCTCGCACACCATGGAATCTCCCGCGTAAATATAGCCGGGAAACTCGCTCAGCGGGAGCATCCGTGTAACGGATCAAATTAACCCCACCTCAAAGTAATTCCAAGGTCAAGTTAAAATTGTACCTCGTATTTAACTTGGCACTGAGCATCACAATGCATGCATGGGTAGGGAGTTTGTAAGTAACTGTCTGTATCTTAATGTAAAACTTTATCCTAAAATACAATGCATAGCAAAGGTTTCACTGCAGGGCTTGACTGAGTAATTGTATTACTGCCAGTGTCCTATCATTACAGAATACAGAGCGATCTGCACTAGAATAAGCTCCATTAAATTATAACCGTGATGAGATTCACCAGGGTGAACAACTGAACGATGCACGCCATTTCCTTCAGCGCGGGGAATATCCTCGCCCGCGGAACCATTTTATGACATCAGCTCGGGCCAATTGGCCGCACAGAAATAAATGCGGAATGAGATTTCCACTTTCGTGGGCTGCTGGAACTGGGCTATGGAAGCACGACTTCCGCAAATAGTCGCGAGGTAAATCATCATCCACCGGTGCAGCTGAGGGCAGGTTTGCGTAATATGCACCGATAAGCTGAGCAACGTCACGAGGAATCGAGCTGCTCAGCTCTGGGCTCTACCCTCAGAGTGTGCGTCGCCGAAGGTGAAATGTAAACCGCTGCTACGTATTTTGCTCCGCCACTTTTCGGAAATGTGCATGGGAAGTGTAGGAGCGCATGCTGCTTGCGACCTCCTGCAACCCACTCAACCTCCCCCACCCTCTCATCATAATGCACCATGCTTGTTCCTCCAGATGTTTGTGCAACTTCCCTAGAGCTTTCACGACAAGCAATGAATGGGTCCGAGGTATGTGTAGAAACCAAAATAAAACGAAATATCATTCTGCTTGGATCGCTGCCACGATGCTGTGCGCTGGATTAGTCCCCACAGTGTAGTTTGAGGGCTGCCCATCGCAAATTTCTCGTGCGCAAATGGCAGCGGGAGGTAACGATGGCTAGACTGCCACGATTGGTCCAAACAATGACTCCTTGTTGCGGTACAGTCCAGCCTTCTGCTGTCTACATTAAAAACGCCACAGTCTTGGCCTCATTAAACCCGTGGTCGGTCATCGCGAAGGATGTTCGAGGAATGGGCGCAAGAATTGGGGGTGTCTTTTTCATGTGCCAGAGTGCGCTTGGCTTCCCGTTACAGCGACATTGTGACCTGCCGAGCGACGAACTTTCCCCCCACCCACTGATACTGTTGAGTGGACGAAGGTTGGTGGGGGTGAATTTGAGGATCTTGCGCCAATGTTTCGGCAGCAGCACCAGGAAATCAACCTTGCAGCCTCCAGATTACAAGTGCAGCGTGCAAAACCATGACACCATTGCAGCGTTGCTTGCACACTGTGCGTTTTGTGTCATCGGTGTTACTCCGCCATGATATTCCCCAGTAGACGTGAATTACCGCACGGCCCCCCAAATGATTGCGCACGTTAACCCTGCATCATTGTCATTCTGCAGGTGGATTTAATGCACTCCGTTGGAGAGACTGTTTCTCAGGGAGCATCTGGGATCATTCTCTGGGGAGACCACCTCTATGCCAAGTCGGCGGTAAGGAAGAGCGACTTCACGTGACCGTGTGTAATGAGCCATCCAGAGCCCCGGGTGCACGTGACTCTCAGAGCATTCAATTAGGAATTTGGCAACAAATCTGATGGCCTCGCTAACATTTGCTATGGTTTGCAATCCATTTGTCAATTTACATTTTAACCTCTTGACATTATTTCGGGGCACGACAAGTACTCATTATGCAAGTAAAGTGTGATCGACCTCAGCAACATGTTTCGGTTGACAAGATTTAATTTGTTAGTGCTGGAAGGGGATTTTTTAAAATGCATCTAAAGTTGTGTCCTGTCAATCGATGACATTTTTTTTAACTCGTAGGATTTTTTTTACTTTCCACAACGCAATACCAAGTACCAACAACAGCAACGAACCTATGCGGTCGCTGTTTTATCACTTTGCTTGTTTGCTGTGCAGAGATAAGAGCAGCCGTGCAAAGGAAGGAACTAGGAATTCTGGGATATTGTGCACATTTTTTTTTTAATGTCTCAATTTAGGCTCCTAGATGGCCGTTTTCTAGATTCATTTTTGAAAAATGTGTTAATTATCTACACGTCCCTGCTGGCTGTACTCCAGTAGACGCTTTCTTGCCTTGTTCTTCTCCCGTGCCAAATTGACCAATCATACTCTTATCTCTGCTCCTCTCAGCTACCTTTACATTGGATTATCCCATTATTAGCTGTCACGGCCGGGCATCTTTAGAGGTCAGTGCGCGAAGCTGGCATCGCTGACTTCATATCTGGTCACCAATGACTGTGCAAAAATACCCCATCACATTGTATTCTCCACTCAGTTTTGGCTAAATTCCAATTATGAGGAATTACATTTTGGTTTGACTGTCGTACGATGAACATTACTCTCACATGCAGAGGCAGCGGACGATCCCTTTGCCCCACTGTGTTGTTCAGAAACCATTTGAAGGAATATCAGAGGTGGTTTTGTGATAGCTGCTTCCACGGGCCATTTTCTAACAATATTGGCCAATTTATATGGTGATACTGCGCAATTGTGCACTAGTCCAAGTAACAAAAAAACACTTTAGCAAATAGCGCTGGGTTATTTGCTGCCTTGTCTGCCTGTCTGCGTGGCTGCCTAGCCGCGTGTCACCGGTAAACGGTCCGTGCTCATCCCAAAGGCACCACAGCAGGTCCAGTGCCGAACCCAGGCATTGCAAGCAGCAGTTACAGGAATATCCTGCCGTCACTTGTCCCGTTGTTTGATTTAACTCGACCTGGCAACGAAAGGCATGAACCAGTGCCTCACAGAAAATGAGGGCCTTGGTTCGAGTCTCAACCCGGGGTGCCTTTCTCCGTGGAGTTGTTTGTTCCCCCCCACCCCCCCCCCCTTGTTCTGCATTTGGTTTCCTCCAGGCCCTTCAGTTTCCTCCTATAGCCAAACAAATGTATTCATTATTTTCACTTCTTTCTCTAGCTGCGGACTCGAGTAGATGCTCGCCTCTCTCATTTCTCGCTCCAGCGCCACGTTTGCCAATCATCCTTTCATCTCAGTATCATTTGCCTAGTTTTTGCCTTGAAGCCATCCAGTGCGATGTAATACAGTAACGTGCTCTCTGAGAGATCCGAATGAACTCTTTGTCTCGTGAAATGACGCCAATAGCACAATTTGGATAAAATTGTGGGGGAAGAAAAAGAGAAAAAATTACGTGGCTAATTATGGTGAACCCAATTTTTGACAATCAAAATTCTGGAAATTGTAAATTGCCTTCCCTTGCATCCAATTTGTGGGAAAATATGCATATATGGTATCCAGTTCTCACCATCATTATCACCATGGGCAAGGCTCGTATCAAACATCACTTCAGAACTGGCGGCTAATTCATTGCATAGTTCGACCCACAGCATGCATGTTAAGACTATGAACGCATTATTCAGATGAGTACTCGAAGTGGTCAGAGGTTACTGTGAAAAAAATAAACAGCTTGACAGCATTGTATTTGTAGCTTTATGTTGGATACTCTTTATAGAGGTTTTAAAATGACCAAGCAATTCAAGGGAATTAATGTTGGGCAATTAATATGCAGTGTGTGATGCTCTGATAATGAATGGGTTGATGGTTTTCCCTCCAATCCCCACTTACTCTCAGCCTCAAAGGAAAATTCAGCTGCAACAGCCGAATGGTTTCTCTGCATTGTTATACTTTCTAATTAACCAGGAGTAATTATAAAAATCTCATTAGTGTTTGCTAGGTGGGGGTGGAGAAAAATGTCTAAATATGCGGAGGAATGTTTTTTTCCCCCATTAAATTAAACTTTGGGCAGTTTTCCAAAAAGACCTTTGAAAAACCTTGGCACTGACCTTGAAACAAAAAGGAAATACCTTTAAAAAAATATCTGAAAGTGTGCCCTTCCATTATGTAATCGCTTCATGCTTAATAGTTTAAGTATGCAAATGCATGAAGGAGTTTAATGTTTCTTATTCTAAATATTATATTGCATATATATCTCACTGTCTCGAATACGCAATAAATGCCACATCAATTGTATTATTTCCCATATTTGAAAACCATTGTTCGAGGGGTGAAGTTTGCCAGGTACTTTTTATCCCAACATAAGAAATATTCTTCTTTGGTTCTTTCGGTAAAGTCACGTAGAATGAGAATAAAATAAAAAAATAATAAAATAAAATAACACATAGTGAGAATTTTATTGTAATTTTATTTTATTAATTTATTATTTGATTCTCATTCTACGTGACTTTACCGAAAGAACCAAAGAAGATGAATCCTTGCAGTCACGAAAGCTTTAAATTGAAATATAAGAACTTCCCAGAGACTTGCTCATGGACTCATTTGCGAACTCAATTCACCACCAGGTACGTGAATGATGAAGGGAGATGAATGTGTTGTAATCGCCTTCGATGAAAATTGAACCCCAAACTTTTTATTACATGATGGCTTATGTAGATACGGAGCAACAACTACAATTTCACATTCAGGCGGTCAAGCCAGACAACCGCGTCAGGAGCAGCAGAGTGTGCCGCTGACATCAATGTTACGCGTTTTCATTACGTTCGCGAGATGCTCGCATTTCACCCAAGAGAAGTCCCTCAGTGTTCAGTCGGAGCATCCAGGGCATATCTCTTTGGCCCTTAAGAGGGCCATTGGCGTGGCTTGCGTTGTTGCTCTGAAGACCGGGATATCGATGATCGATGTTCGGTCGCCGCGTTGACTGTATTCGTCGTGATCTCTCACTTAACAGAGTGGGCCGCTTAAGTTTTGATTTAAAGCTTTCGTGACTGCAGTAATTCATATTCTTAGTTTTTTCGGTAAAGTCACGTTGAAGAGAAACAACAAAATAACAAAATATATATAAAACAATAAAAAATTCTCACGACGTTTCGACCACACACCTGATGATGACCGTTTGAGTTATGGTCGAAACGTCGTGAGAATTTTTTATTGTTTTATATATATTTTGTTATTTTGTTGTTTCTCTTCAACGTGACTTTACCGAAAAAACTAAGAATAAGAGTGGGCCGCGTGAAGGCTGCCATCTTCCGCTCCTATAATTTGATGATGCAAAAACAAGAGTCCTTTTCCCGCACCTCCGATTAGCACAGTTGGCTATGTACGGTGCGAAAGACGTTCAACATACGTAATGCAATATCCAGGGAAGCCTCGCTGGGTCTCAAAACTCTTTTTATGAGGTCCTGAATTATGATCCTTTGATAATTTATTATGGGAAAAAATAACTGAGCAATGCCCAAATAGGTCGGCATCCTATTTGGTGTACTGTACTTACAACCATTAGCCACCTATTATTCGAGCAAACTGGGATATTCACGGAAAATGTAGATACACTTAAGTCTATACTACAGCACGTACATGCGTGATGCCAATGATTACATTTTAAAAGTAACCATGAAGAGGGTGTCTTTACTGGGTTGGATTTTGTCATTTTAGCTTGAGCCTCAATGTTGCAAAGAAATGTTGCTGACGGTATACAAAGTATATGTCCTCCAGAATGAATATCAATGACAACTAAGCAGAAAAATCAACAACCTAGAATATTGCCTGCTAGAATTGCTTTATTTGCTTTTATGTAAGCCCAACCCTATTTACCATGATAATTAATACAAAGTTTAATTCTACTTTATTGCTGCCGTAAGTCGAGGTCGTGTTAAATTGGAAGCTTGACTTCTTTTTTTTAAATCAGTGTGGTCAATGAATGTTAGTTAAGTTTTGCAAAAAAAAAAAAACTTTTAAAACATTTAACTCGGCTTGAAGTTTAATGAACTCGCGCATTGATTTAATTAGTTATAGCAAATCACAATCATTAATCAATCACAATTATAATCTGCCCATTATAATCTCATCATATCCTGAGGCCTACAGCTTGAGGCCTATTTAAAAAAAAATCGTGCCAAAATTATTCTGGTATAACCTCATTCGATATGAACACATTAATGCGTTATCTCCACGCTAGATTTACCAATATCTGAACAATTTACCCACATTCTAGCAAAGAAAGTCCAACGTTCAAAGTGGCTGGGCTTGAGCTCTCAGTCACAAATTGAACAATTCCAGCCCTCAAGTGAGTAGACTCAGCCACTGCTATACAGAACACAAAGGACAATAGCAATTGCAATCGGATCACAACAGGGATTGTTTAAATTGGACCATCCCTAATACGTGAACATCTGCAGTGGTGAACTAGCATCTTATGTGTCCTACATAGGCATGGCCTTGATATAAGATAACTCTTCTTATCCATCACCCTATTAACCACCACTCCTATTATCTCCAGTAGCCACTGGGTCCAGAATAACTCCTGTTGTCCGGAGGCCATAATTTTCCAATTATGAGCAACTTTCCCACAGTTCATTGCAGAACAGCTTACAATAATGTGCCCGTTCTCGTACTGTTAAGATGGGGTTATGAAGCGAGTATTTCCAATTATCCACAGATTATTTAAATGCAGGTCTTGACTAGCCCCTCTTTTGTCTGCATGCACATGGAAAACAAAATCC